AAAATGTGCGGGTCCGCTCAGTCAAACAATAACAACGAAACATGGAGGAACAAAAGTCCGCTTTTAAATTGTGTGTGTGTGTGTGTGTGTGTGTGTGTTTGTAGAGGTGTGTGTGGTTAAAATGATTCTGAAGGTATACACAGTGAAGTGAAAGTAATCCAAAAGTAATCTAAAAGTAATCTGATTACGTTTTTAAAACACGTAACTGTAACTGTATTCTGTACACACACACACACACACACACACACACACACACACACACACACACACACACACACACACACACACACACACACACACACACACACACACACACACACACACACACACACACACACACACACACACACACACACACACACACTTAGGGGAGGTGCAGAGCAGAGAGGCTGTCAGTTATCCAGCGTCAAGGGACGTTTTGAGGTCAGGTGCCATATATTTGTTTTAGTCCGATCAGGACGTGAACCGGCGACTCTACGTTCCAAGACCAAGTCCCAGACTGAGCCACTGCCACTATTGCTATCATTATTGTTGTTGTTGTTGTTGTTATTATTGTTGTTGTTATTATCACTCAGTGTTTAAAGTGTGTCTCTGCCGCTCAAAGAGTCGAGAGACGTTTGGGTGAAGATGTTGGCTGAGCCTCTGACAGGAAGTGCTCTGCTGTCGTACTTCCTGTCTGACGGACTGCAGAAACAATGAACAGGAAGTGCTGGACTCTCTGCTCATTAACGCACTTCCTGTTGACGCAGGTGTGAGGTAGACTCTGTCACACACTCTCTCTGAACACATTTTAAATCATTCGGATACACTTTAATAATAACTGTAAGATATTAGAATGAACTGCTCAGCAGACGACGAACAAGGTTTATTCAGAAAAAGGTATATAATAAATACATATATGATTATAATAGTGATGCAATCATCCGGGTCTAATTATTCTTGATATTATTAATAAATACATTATAATGATAAATTCTTTATTTATTATTTTTCTTTTTTTTCCTTTTAATTATTTTTTATAAAATAATAAAATATTATTTTATTTTAATTTGACTATCCTTTATATATTTGTGTATCTCTTCTCCATCTAGTTACCAGTATACATATGTTACTTTTCATAAAGACCAACATTAGTTTAAACAAACATTAAAGAGTGTATCAGCCGACGTCAGAAATAAGTGTTTTGATCTTATTATATTTTAGGTATAGATTGTACCCCCTAACATGTCTCAGATTCTCCTGTTTGATAACAAGTGTATCGAGAAAAAGAGAAACTTCAATGATTTGAAATGATAAAGAAATAAAAGCAGATTTCAGAATAACTGAGAAGTCTTAGTATTTTATCTTTGGTACATAATTTAAAATGCTGTATAACATGTTCATAATCATATAACATCCTATGATGAATAGTCTTTAGCTGTTCCTGATATCACCATGAAGGCCCCCCAATATTTGTTATATTGAATTAAATATATACGTTTTCTGACATGTAATGTTTGAATATGCTCCTGATGCATTACGTGCTGCTAACTTTGGGATACATCTGTACACACAAGCAGCAGTGAGTGAAGGTTTCTCTCCTTCACAGAGATCTGCTGAATCTGTCCTCTCTCAGAATAAAATACTTTTAGTTGATGTACTTACAGCGGGAGGCGAGCAGGACCAGCAGCAGCATCAGAGCGTCCATGTTTCTGCAGCTCCAGACCAGCAGGGAAGTGCTCCTATTGGACAGGAAGCAGAGAGTCATTTCCTGCTATTCAACACACCGGCATTCTCTAAACACCAGAGCCACAGGGATAAACCTGTAGAAGAAGAACAGGAATAGGGTCTCAGTCAGTAGGGGGTTGGGCTGTGTGCTGTAGGGTCCCCGGTTCAAGCCCCCGGACAGACCTAAAATATGGAGTGTGGACTGCTAGTTGGTGAGTTCCCAGTTCACCTCCTGGGCCCTGCCCTTGAGCAAGGCACCGGACACCCCCCACCCCTCACTCCCATTGCTCCTCGGACGCTGTGCAATAGCTGCCCACTGCTCTCACACACACACACACACACACACACACACACACACACACACACACACACACACACACACACACACACACACACACACACACACACTACTCTCTCTCTCTCTCACACACACACACACACACACACACACACACACACACACTCTCTAAAACACACACACACACACACACACACACACACACACACACACACACACACACACACACACACACACACACACACACACACACACACACACACACACACACACAGTCCTTGGTTGCAGGAAGACTCCTCTTCCTCTGCACACAGACATTTCCTCAAACCCTGAACACACCCTGACCTCTGGGAGGATGGAACGCCCACCGAGCACGATCAACACACACACACACACACACACACACACACACACACACACACACACACACACAGGGGGAGGGAGAATGGCTTAGCAACAAACACACATNTTATTATTTTATATATATACCGTACACTATATAGACAAATGTATTGGGACACCCCTCTGAATCATTGAATTCAGGTGTTTCATTCAGTCCCATTGCCACAGGTGTATCAAATAAAACACCATGCAGTCTGCCTTTACAAACATCTCTGAAAGAAAGGCTCCTTCTGAAGACAGAAGTCCAACATGGTTCTGAAACAGGATGTCAGTTCATTTCTTCTTTTTCTCTCCTAGATATTCCACAATCAACTGTAAGTGGTATTGTTAAAAAATGCAAGCCTTACATCACCGAGCACAATGCCAAGCATCGGATGGAGGGGTGTAAAGCCGCCTCTGGACTCTGGAGCAGAGGAAACGTGTTCTGTGGACCAATCACGCTTCTCTATCCGTCTGATGAGTCTGGGCTTGTTGAATGCCAGGAGAACGTTACCTGCCTGACTGCATTGTGCCAACTGTAACTTTTGGTGGAGGAGGGATAATGCTATGGTTGTTTTTCTTGGGTTGGCCTCGGCCCCTTAGCTCTAGTGAAGTGATTCTTCATGCTTCATCTTACCAATTCATTTTGGACAATTCCATGCTTCCTACTTTGTGGAAACAGTTTGGGGAAGAAGAACCTTTTTCTTCCAGCATTACTGACTCTCACAAAGCAGGTCCATGAAGGCCTGGTGGATGAGTTTGGTGGAAGAACTTGACCTGAACCCATTGAACTTCAACCCATGGCCGTCACACAGAGACACACCAGCATGTTTTAGAATGCCTTCCCAGAAGAGTGGAAGCTGTTAAAGCTGCAAAGGGGTTAGGGCATTCACATTAATGCCTGAGAATTTAGAATGGGAAAGCTCCTGTGGGTGTAATGTGTAGGTGGCCCAATACTTTTGTCTGTATGTAAATATAATAGTATAGTAATACTGGAAGTGTGAATCTGCTTCATCGATTTCAATTCCTTTGGTTCGTTTATTCTTTTTTATATAGGTTTTTCTCAAAATGTGACTTTCTTTTTTAATCGAATTTTACTTTTTCCTCATAATTTGAGTTGCTATAATTTGACTTGATATATGATCGATGGCTGATTGATATCATTTGATATATCCACCTGAACATCAGCAGGGCCGTTTTCAGCTTCCTGCTGAACGACGCCCAGAGACTTCAAATAATCATGAGTACAAATAATCAGTATTTATTGTGTTGGTGTGTCTTTAACTTAGAGGTTAACTCTACCCGCCTGTTCCTCCCGTGTCATAAAACAGCCTCACTTTCACTTCCTCTTATTTGTTTTTCTCTGCTGCAGCTTCCTGCTTTCTGCCCGTCCGTCACACTCTGGAAAATAGATTTAATGTACTTTATATATAGTATACTTTATATTTAATGTACTTTATAACATACTTTATATTTAATGTACTTTATATTTAATATACTTTATATTTAATATACTCTGTGTGTGTTTTCAGGATAGAGTGTTTGAGAATCTTCTCTGGAGCTTTCCTTCAGCACGCTGAGCTGCAGGAAGGTGAGCGTTTGTTTCATTGACATTAAGACATTTTATATTATATTATTTTATATTATATTCTCTTATATCATGTATTAATATGTATTAATATGAAATATTCCTCTGGTGTTTTGTACGCAGCTGATGTGAGATGGCAGAAACCAACCTGATGTCTGCAGCTTCTGGTACTTTATATACAATCATTATACCGTACTGTCCCTGAATGCACCGTGGTGTTTTTCTTCACCCAGCATAACATAGATAAATCAGATGCTAAACTAAATTATATAAAAGGTTATTATTACTCTTAAAACGTATTAAAACTGAGATATTATGTTGTAGTCCCATAAACAACACCCATTGTTTATATGTGTGTGTGTGTGTGTGTGTGTGTGTGTGTGTGTGTGTGTGTGTGTGTGTGTGTGTGTGTAGCTCTCACAACGAAGCAGCTGCAGCAGAAATTGTCATCAGAGAAGAAGAGCGAGCATCCGGTCCTCCTGCTGTTTGAGATCCCGTCCACTCGAGTTGTTGAGAACCAGCTGTCCAAATACGTGGTGACTTATTTATATTTTAAATAATATTTTCATTGGGTGACCCTAACCCTAACCTAAGCTCCTCCAACAATGTAACATATAATTTATAATATAAGACATGAACAATAAAACAAATAAAACAATTAAGATAAAATAAAATAGATTATGTTGGACACCAATGTGCATTTTATTAATTGTTTTACTTAAATAACAAATAATATACGGTATATTCAATATATTTTATTTACTTATTTTATTCATTCATTAATATTATAAAAAATGTATTCATTAATTTCTTTTGGTCTGGTTAAGTCACAGGAGTGCCAGAGATATCAAATATGTAAAAGTAAAATGATCCTAATCTGTTTTTATTTCATGTAGTATTTCTATTTTTAAGATGTATTGTGGGTGTTCCTGATGTGAGACGATGCGTGCAGGTGTATGAGGTGGTGGTGATGTTGTCGGGCAGTTTCGATTCCCGCCGTGTGTCCGTGGAGCGCCGTTACTCCGACTTCCTGCGGCTGCAGCGCCTCCTCCTGCAGGAGTTCGACTCGGCGCTGGAAGACGTGTCGCCCCCCCCCAAACTCCTGAGCGGGAACTTCTGCGCCGCCGTGCTGTTGCAGCGCCGCCTCGCCCTGCAGGACTACCTGGCCAAACTCTTCTCGACGCGCTGCGTCCGCCGCTCGCCTTTGTTCGCTGCCTTCTTCACGGACGCCGAGCAGCGGGGGGCGCTGGTGCTGCTGCGGGGGGGGCAGTTCAGCCCGGCGCTGAGGCAGCTAGAAGACGTGTTAGCGCTGCAGGTACAAAGGTTTATTACAAGATTAACCAGAAAGGTCTACTTTTTGTCCTCAGAACCAGAACCCTCAGGTCTGCTTTCTGTCCTCAGAACCAGAACCCTCAGGTCTGTTTTCTGTCCCCTGAACCAGAACCCTCAGGTCTGTTTTCTGTCCCCTGAACCAGAACCCTCAGGTCTGTTTTCTGTCCCCTGAACCAGAACTCTCAGGTCTTCTGGTCTGCTTTCCGTCCCAAGTGAGAACTAAACATGGAGAAGTGCAGTTATTATGCTCCATACATGTGGAACAAACTGAGTTGAGTTATACTGCTCTTAATGTTTTCATAGTTGTAAAGTGCATGTGTTGCAGGAGAAGTTGCAGTGCTGGCAGAGTCCCGCCCTCCGCCTGCCAACGCTCTGTGCCCTGGCTGTCTGTCACTGCGACCTGCAGCAGCATCAGGAGGCGTTGGATGCGGCTCAGAGGGCGCTGCCTGTTGCCCGGCGCTGCGGCCTGCGGAGCCACCGGGCAGCGCTGCTGCGCCTCCTGATGGACCTGAGCTACCGGCTGGGGCTGCCCGGGGCCCGCCTGCAGGATGAGTTGCAGGGCCTGCAGGACCGACCTCCCTCCCTGAAAGACGACCCCCCAACCCTGAAGGAGCTGGTCATCCAACAGTTCACCTGAGGGGCTAAAAATGTGGGACGAGATACAGACCGAAGGAGTCCTCAACAAGACTCAGCGTTATGAGTCCTAAACCCTGACATGAGTCAGGATTATGA